TCTGAGGTAACAAGTCCCCAGGACTGCCCCTGCTCCTAAATGCTTTGCAATCTCAGGCTATCTATACCCCTAAATATACTTTTTCCTTTTTAATTGAGATAACTGAGACTCTTCTCAATGAAGAAAGCCCAACTATAACAGTTTGTAAGAGTTCTGTGTAGGTAAGCTGAAACTGAATTATCTGAAGACTTTTGCTTTGGGGAGAATGAGTAGTCTGGTTCCCTTAGCCAACATGGCTACTGCCATTCCTTATTTGGAAGCATCTTGTGTACTTGAGATGAGGTTTTAGGCAGTCAGGAAATAGTATGTTCTAAATTCTCCCTTTGTTCTCACGATGTCAGGGTAGGCCAAGACTATGTTTGAATCCTGAAGAAAGGAGGTCTTGCCATCTACAAAAAGTGGGCTTGTCTGAGAAAGTTAAGTCCTTTTTAAGTTACTAAGATCCAGGCCTACAAATCTCTTAGAGGGAAACTTTAAAAACACGACTTTTTACCTACTTAAAAGGAGCAAAGACGTGTGGCAGCCATGTTGGTTCACCAGTGAGATCTCGTGAATCATTTCTCATCTCCAATTTCAGGGCTTAGGAGGGCTAAACTAGAAGGAAAGCTGAGAGCAGCCCTTGTCAATATGAAACCCCATCTATTATGTCCACAGCCTGTTGGAAATGTCCCCTGGCAAGGCTGCCATCAGCACTTGACTGAAAACACATGGAAACAGCCCACTCAGAGCAGGAATTCATTATTGGAAGAATAATAAGGGAAAGTTTTTTTTTTTTTCCTCCTCCTGTCTCTCTCTCTCTCTCTCTCTGTCTGCTGGGAGAGCTGCTTTCTGGAAAAGTCACAGGGCTTAGAGGGAATTTGAATCATGTCTGGTAACAAGAGGAGGAGTGGAAGAGAAAGGGCACATTTCCAGAAGTTCTTTCATATGAAACATGATGGTTCTGGGCAACTCAAAATTAGTTGTTCCATCTTAGATGTATTACTGAAATCAGGCCACAGCTCCCTTTAACCCCATATCCTTTCCTGGAGTTATTAGTATCTGATAGCTCCAAGGGGAAAGTACCCAGAGTTAACTGGTTTTCCATGGCTATACCTCTCTTTCAAAATGGTTGCCTGTAGACTAGAACATTATTTGGTTTTCTTTCCTCAACACTAACCCATAAGTCTTCAATATATGCTGGGTGATCTAAAGGAAAGATATATACAAGGCATGAGAGTGAAAGAAGGAAAGATGAGCCAGCTCATTGGCTACAGCATTATGTGACAGACATTACATGTGTTCACTCATATCTAGTTCTCCTTCTCTTCCAAATACAGAGGAGGTTTGTACTCCCCACCTCCTTGAAGCTGGGTGTAGATGCATGACTGCTTCGCCATGAGAGCAGAAGTGATGGGTATCATTTCTTGGGGGAAGCACTTAATTGCTAGGGCACAACCCTTCTCTCTCTTCCCCTACTGTAATTGTGGAAGTACATGTTGCTACTGAGATGGGATACTGAGTCATCACATGGAGGACAGCGTCCTGGGAGAGTCTCTCAGACAGCTGATATTTTTTTTAATGTTTTATTTATTTCTGAGAGAGAGAGAGAGAGAGAGAGAGAGAGAGAGAGAGAGAGAGACAGTGTGAGCAGGGGAGGGTCAGAGAGAGAAGCAGATACAGAATCTGAAACAGGCTCCAGGCTCTGAGCTGGGAGTCAGCACAGAGCCCGATGTGGGGCTTGAACCCACGAACCGTGAGATCATGATCTGAGCCAAAGTCGGACGCTTAACCGAATGAGCCACCCAGGCGCCCCTCAGACATACTGACTTTAAGTCACTAAGATTTCGGGGTGTTGTTTGTTTAGGCAGCAAAACAAAGTCTGTCCTGATTTATGCCCACTATTTATTGGTCTACTCCCTTCCCAGGTCCCTTTGGAGTTATGGAGAACCTGGGCTCCTTCTGAACACTGTCTTCACTGAAATTCAGACAGGGAGGCAATGTGCTTTCTCTCATACTTAGGATATTCTTTTGGGAAATGTGATGGACTCCTTCCCTCCATTTGAGCAAAAGAGGCCTCTGTTGAATTCTATAAGAGAATAAAGAAAGTCTTTTCACAGGCAGAGGACAAAAGTGATGGTGACAATATTGAAACCAAAGGCAAAATGAAACATTTCAGAAAAAGGACACTTCCCAGTGGCTCTAAGACCACACTTCTAAGGTCAGAATCTGCTCTTGTGCACTTCCTCTTGCCTTCATTCCCCTTTTCCCCAGGACCCAATCCTCATTCCCCATCTCCAGAATTCTCACTTGGCAATCCTGGTTTTGCCAGATCATCTTTTAAATCCCGTCCATGAGTGGTAACTTTGCTCACAACATACAACACAGAAGCCTTATGCACAGAGTTCAGAACTTGGGGGCTAATCCAGAAATGTCCACTCTGTGGGCTGATAGGGACCACTTCTGAATCCTCACTGGGACTGCCGCCCATTAACAAACAGAGTACCTAGGAGGCTAGCACAGTTATGGGAACAAAGTCCAACTTTGACATATGAATGTATACGTACACACACACAGAAAAAAAAATCAGTGAGTAGCATCCAGGTTCGATACAAATTACCTCACTGGCATCTCATGGGAGGTACCAGGTTTGACAGCTTCTCAGCTCATGAATACCACCTGTGTCTTCTCTCTTGCAAATATTTCCTGGGGCAACTTTCCTGAGCCCGTCTCCTAATCTTTAATCATGGTGGAACGAAGAGGAGGTAGTGATGGAGCCTCTACTCAACTCTCAGCACCACTGCCCAGGCTTTCTGCAGCCGCCCCTCCCCATGGAAGATCAAACCACTGGTATTGCTCTCGGTGATTCTTTTACTTGGAAAATATTCACAGAGTTCCCCATTATGTACATAATATTGTGCTGAGTATTTTAGTGAATTGAGGATGACTAGGAGAAGTTGTAACACATGCGAACAGAAATAGTAGACAGGTGAGGGGCAAGAGAGGAAGAAGCAGGACCCAGTGGGTTTGAATCAACATTCCATCACTTTTTAGCAAAAGACTGAACTTTTCTTGCCTCATTGCTCATCTGCACGGGAGGAATGATGCAAAGTCCTACCTCGTGAGACTGTTAGGATTAGGTAAGCTGTTGCATGTATAGTGTGTGTCAGACATGCAGCAACACTTAATAAATATTGGCACAATGCAAACACGGCACGTAGGTCCTATCCTGGGAGCATGGTTTGCGGTGAAAAGCCCTGTTGGAACTTTGACCAGGAGAGTGTGGGGATTGATTTGTCAGTCACTGGGTGTAGAGCCCTGTCTTAGGGTTTCCTGGTGTTGAAAAAAATAAGCTCAAGGAGGAAGACATTTATTCCTTTACATTTGGAATTGGGAGGTGTCTGCCTTGTACCTTTCTCAAAAGAAACTTTTGAGTGCTCTGTTTTAATGTGTGAACGGTCCAGCTTTTCTTTCTTGGTGGGCAATAAAAGTGGAAAGAAACCAAATTAGTAGTTACAGAGAATAATATGTCTTTCCCAACTCTTCAAATAGCCCTTTGATGTTTGAAATTAGCCAATTCACCTAATAAGAACTCACAGGAAACGCACATTCAATCAGCTGCAAAAATTCAGCTTGCTTTTCACAAATGTTCAATTGAAGATCACAAGTTCTCAAAATGCATCTTGCTCAGAGGGAGACAACTGACCACAGTCGGGAAAGTCTGCCTCTGTGACCTCTTTCAGGCCTACCCAAATCCTTCTTGCCTTTCTATGCCCAGCACATTGTTTGCTCTCCAGGAATACTTTCCCTGACTCACCCCAGCTGGACAAAACGTTCCCACTCTTGTCCTTGCAGCACGTGGCTTGGATGTACATCTATCATGTCATTTCACTGTATTCTGTTTTATATTTTAGTTAGCAGTCTAGGAGTCTTTTCCATACCTTACAATATAGTTCTTGAGGATGAGACACGTATCCTGCTCTTGTGAGCTTCACCACAGCACTTGGTATGTGCTCAACAAACACTGAGTTGTTAAAAGACAGTCATTCAGTTATTCTTCACTGATCTGTATCTACTTGGTGCACAGCATTCTGGTGGGCACTGACAGGAAACATGAGACGGGGTAAGACTTGACTATAGACTCCAAAGCATTTAAAACCTCTGGAGGGGGAGCAGGTACAAAGTGATTCTATAGAGGACAGCTTGGGGGTCACTAACAACTTGGCTAAGAGAGGTCCCCATGCCGAGGCACCTGGGTGGCTCAGTCGGTTAAGTGTCTGACTTCGGCTTAGGTCATGATTTTGTGGTTCATGAATCTGAGCCCCGTGTTGGGCTCTGTGCTGATGGCTCAGAGCCTGGAGCCTGCTTTGGATTCTGTGTTCCCTCTCTCTCTCTCTGCCCCTCCCCAGCTCACGCTCTGTCTCTCTCTCAAAAAATAAATACATATTAAAAAAGAGAGAGAGAGAGAGGTCCCCATGCCAAAGGCTGGGAAGATTTGATGCCTGGCTTTGAAGGAGCCATAGCCCCGAGGCCCTGCACTGAGCCCAGCCTTGAAGCTTTGGTTGGAAACTTCCGGACAGTAGGAGGGCTTAGGCTGGGTGTTCTGCTGGAAACAACTAAATTATCCTATGGGTCACCAATTGGTTTATTTGCTAATTGACTGGCCCAGCTTTGGGCTTTAAATCCAAAGAACTAATTTCATCCTTTATTAAATACTGCATGAATCTCACCCTTTGTTCTGCAAGGCTATACACAATATACTAGAGAAACTTGAATTTACACCACAATAGTTGTGCCACTAATGACCTTCCAAATGCCACTAATACCGTACATGTTCCGCTTCTCAGTTGGATCCGAACCTGTCAGTGCATTCTGAGCCCATTGACCTCCCTCTGACACAAGAGCAGACCCCCACGCCCATGCCCGCCCCCAGCCTCCCCATCTTTCCATGATTTCATTTCTGAATGAGTTACTCTTTGGAGACCCCAATTCCTTTACACCCACTCTTTTTACATGGTGGACAATACTTTATTCGGAAATGTTCCCTCCTGTAATTACAAATCCTGTTAGTCATCCTCCTCCTCTCCCTAGGGGGATTGTGGGCTTTAATTAATTAACGTGGCTAAACCGCTTTGAGGTGCCTGGTTGAAAGGTGCTATATAAGTGCAAATTATTATTATTACGGCTGTTGACATCCCACAGCGCAAAGCCTTCAGCCCCATGCATCTAGAGACCTGAACAAAGGCGACTTCATCCTCACCTTCCCTGCTAGGTCTGAGATGGCTGGCTCAGTGGTATGGGGGCAAATCTGTTACCGTATCAACATCAATCAACTAATTAATCCCCATTATGTTGGCTTCCGTGTCCTTCTTCCGAGCAGAACCATCCTGTTTCATTTCACAAATCGTGCCCCCATCAGCTCTAGACAAAGGTCATAGTGTCCCTATGGCCTCTATTGGCCTAAAGGAGAGAAAAAAAAAAAAAAAAGGGAGAGAAAGTCAATTTGAAAAAATCAAAACAAAACTATGTTGTGATGAAATGCACTAACTTGTCCCTAATAGTCTAAATAAAACTTTCCTTTCAGCTGTAGTCCTCTTGCATACATACCTCTCTATTACCTAGGGAGCCAACAGCCCTGCAAACCAGAGATGCCCAGAAACACAGCATCGGTGTGAGGTAAGGTCCCGCAGCCCTGGCTTGACTGCTGATCGCTATAGACAAAGGCCCTCTCTGAGCTGGGTGGGAAGAGGACATCCAGAGAAGTGGGAGCCCTGCTTCAGCTTCCTCCACTAGCTCTGTGGTTTCCCTTGAGAAAGCCAGCTGCCATCAGTAGCCAGGAAGCCCTCACAAAGACAGGGGACCGTGATTTAGATGTTTTGTGCTGCACCTAGCAAACCTCAGCCCTTAACAAATGCCCAGTGCTTCCACTGTGATGGTAGCCATTGAAAGCAGCCCTGTGGGGGAGACGTGGCCTCTCGAAGGGACGCTGCTGACCAAAATGCTCCTTACAAGGTTGTGCCTCAGACCCTTTGTTAGCGTGGACGTGGGTGAGCCTCAGGGGGTCATGTCTTCATCTGCCTCCATTTATCCTCCCTATTGAAGGGCTCCTTCAGGACATCGGTCAGTCTCTGTGGGAAGTGATTTGGAGGGCAACAAAAGAACTTGGGCCCTTGGGGGGCCTTCAGAATTCAGTAAACATCTGGACATGGAAGGCCAGGTTCTCAAGCAGTCTAGCTGGGGAGATGTCAAAAGAGAGAAAAAGCTGTGTGTGCAAGGCAAGCTCTTAGTTCTGTGGTGACATTTGTTGTAGAAAAACACAGCCGCCCCAGTAGGTAGATAGGAAGATTTTTCAAAAGCTCCTCTATTTGTCAGGTTTTGTGAGTGCAATGTACTGTTTGTCAGTCCTTGTGGCATGTGTGAGGAAGTAGAAGTTTCGCATGGCTGGGGAGCAGCATGTGATGGATGTTCTGATTCTGTATGGGCGATGAATAACCCACGATTGCACAAGCCTGTCCTGCGAGTTGTTGTTAAGCATTTCTGTTCTCCTTGAGGTTTGTAAAGTACTTTCTAGTCAAGGTGACTTGTTAGATTCTCCTCATGAGCACATTTTAATTGACCAAAAAATGAAGTACTGAAGCTAAGGGATTTACATTTCGTCACATGGTGAAATTCAGGATCTGAACTCTTGACTCTCAACATTCCCTTTATTATTGAATCAATCCATTTAGAGCACATTAGTCAGCATGATTCAACATTAGTCACATGGCACTAATCAGCATTCCCCAGGGTTCTCAAATCTATCGTCAAACAGCAAAAGAAATTGGCCTCTATCAAAAGACAATGGAAAGCCATTTTCATCAGTATTCACGGGATGGTGTGCAGTTCAGCTCTTCCCCTACTCTCAGGAACCTTCCTCAGTCATCCTAGTGGAAATGATTCTATCTCCCTTTTCTTAATGTTTACTTTTGGGAGAGAGATAGAGAGAGAGACAGACAGACAGACAGACACAGAGAGAGACAGAGAGAGAGCACATGCGCTAGAGAGAGAAAGAGAGAGATAGTGCAAGCAGAGGCATGGCAGAGAGAAAAGAGGACAGGGGATCTGAAGCAGGCTCTGTGCTGACAGCCCTATGTGGGGCTTGAACTCACAAACCATGAGATTATCACCTGAGCCCAAGTTGGGTGCTTAACCAAGTGAGCCACCCAGGAGCCCCAATTCTATCTCTTTTAAACATATCACATTGTTTGAACCTCAGTAATAGGTGTCACAGTTTGCCTTTGATTAAACTTATTTTGTTTTTGAGCTAACTAGATTTTGAGCTACTAAAAGAGAGGGAGGGGTGCCTGGGTGGCCCAGTCGGTTAAGCGTCCTACTTCGGCTCAGGTCATGATCTCATGGTTCGTGGGTTCAAGCCCCACATTGGGCTCTGTGCTCACAGCTAGCTCAGAGCCTGGAGCCTATTTCAGATACTGTATCTCCCCCTCTCTCTGACCCTCCCCTGCTCATGCTGTCTCTCTCTCTCTCTCCCTCTCAGAAATAAATAAAACATAAACAAATTTTTTTTAAGTAGAGGGAGCATCGCCCCTAGTCTTATATCCTCTGAGCACCATGGTTTACAAACAACAGATACCTCAAAAAATACCTGCTGAACTGAACTCACTGAAATGGAGCTTAAGTCATATTCCAGAAAGAACACCACGTCCTTCTGGAAGAAGTTTTCAAAGAAAATCAACAACCTGAATTGATTTAACATCTTTTGGTATTATTACCTGGGCATTTTCACAAATGCAAATTGTTAGCTCTGCAAAGATAGCCAAATGGCTTCCAGGTTCTAAAAGAGGAGTGTGGATCCAGTCTAACTATAGTCCAGGCCTTGAAATAAAGTTTTTTTTAATATAACCTTATTCCAACTGACATTTTGTTCCATGTTTAAAAAAATGTGGAGACAGGAAAAAACATTTTGGGGGAAAAGTTGTGTTTAGTCTATAACTTTGGACCCAAATTCATATCCTGCTTTCTGCTATAAGCACAAGTAGCTCTTGTTCAAGTATCTTTCTAACATAGTGCATAGTAGCACATACTAAAGTTTCTGCTTTAGAGAGATTGTGTTTTGGGTGGGGGACCTGCATCTTTGGTGCTGATCCTTGGTGGCATTACCAATTGTGATACCCTACATCTTTGTTCTAGACTCTACCAAAGAGGGTCCTGTTAGCATTTTTAATATATAATATTTACAATACAATATTTATGTGCATTTTAACATTATGCTACAAGCCTAACCCTACGGTCTGTACTATTGTACCCGGGGGTCTAATCTCTGCAACTGGGCTCCTCTAAAAAGGATGTGTCACTGAATATTCATCTCCCCTTCTCTCTCATGGTAAAAGAACTCCCAAAATTTAGGTAGGCACATGGTCCCCAGATAAACAACTACAATTTTCCAGTCTTTCCTCTCATATACCTACAGATTGGTCAGCATGATATAAGCAGGAATAATGCATGTAACTTCTGGTTAATATCCTTAAAGGAAGGAGGATGTCCTTTCCTCCCACCCTCATTTTCTACCTCATACAAATTCTGCTACCTGGATGGAGATAATGATGCTGAGCCATTGTAGACCATGACAATGAGGGCACTATCTTAGGTGTGATGGGGCAAGAAGCTAAGAGCCTGGGTCCCTGGACAAATACATGGGATGAGCTGCTATACTAGTTCTGGACTATATTCCTCTGCAATGCTATGTGAGAAAGCAGTAAACCTCACTTTTGACTTATATTATGTGGACACTGTTAATTTATATTATGATTCCACCCAGCCAAACTTACAACCCAACTCAGGAACTTTCTTGAGGGGTTGCTTACAATAGTGCATCTGATCCACCTTAGCTTAGGATTTCAAGATTCAAGATTCAGGACAGGAGGGGAATATCACAACAGAAGCTCGTGAAGCCCGAGAGATAAGTTGCCAGAGGGGCTGCCATTATGCAAGATGAGAGGCTCCACACCCATTTCTGATTTTATAAAATCTTAGGAGCCCTGAGTACTTGTGAAGGGCTACAAACCCAATTCTGAGGTAGACCTTGCCTTTCTGGAACTCAGTCTGCTGACCTGAAAATAAGGGCGATGGATGAGATGAAAATCTCTCATTCTTGGAAGTGTATAGAGTTTTAACTTTGGGAGGAATTAAAGTAATTTTTGTCAACTAATCATCTAAGTTACGCATAAAGCACATATGTTGTGCAGAAGATCCCTCTGGAGACTATGGAAAGATTATACCCCCATAGCAGAGATAAAAGAAGTTTCCATACAGAATACATGAGAAGACTGTCCATGCAAACACAACAACAAACTTATAATCACACACAGCTGTGTAGCAATGGGTTCACTACCTCCAGAGGAAGTTTAAATTGGTAAATGTCCTTGGAAAGCAGCTTGGGAATACATAGTAAAGATTAAAGTGTGCATGCCCTCTGACCAGTCGTTTCACTTTTTGTGTATACCTAGAGAAACCCTCACATCAGCACACGAAGAAGCACATGTAACAGAATTCACTAAGTTAACAAATAATCGAGATTTCCATCAATAGGGGAACGGATAATGTAGTATATTCATACAATGAATGAGGATACCTCATTAAAGTAAAAGAATGGGATCCATGTGTATCAATATGGACACATTGTAAAAACACAACATTAAGTGACAAAAGCAAGTAGTGGAATGATGTGTCCAGTAAACCATTTACACAAACTTGGAATGCACTCAAAACAAATCATTGTATTATATTTGGATTCACATACATGTAGAAAAGTTATTTAGAACGAGGGAAAGGATATGTATCAAACCCTGGAGAGTTTCTACTTCTCTGAAAGGTTGTGAGGTAGGGATAGGTACAAAGGGGGTTTTGATTTTGTCAAGTTTTGTTCCTATTATTAAAAAAATCTGAAACAAATATGACAAAATTTTAACATTTGCTAAGTCTGGGTGTTAAAGTCATGGGTTTTATTATTTTCTGCCCTGTTCCGTATTTAAAATATTTTATTTTGCACAAGGAAAAGAAAATCTCTCTTTGAAGCTAATAGCCAGAGTAAAAGAAGTAAACAGAGCAGGAGTTGGTGTGAGAAGATGCATGGAGGCAGGGAGTGTGAAGTAAATGTTAAAAAAGAGGAGAGAACCAGTTAAGGGGTGTGCTTCCTCATTTTCCCCGGGAAGTTCCTCCTTGAGAGGCAAGCAGGAGTCACAAAGGACCATGCCTTGTCCCGCACAAGCTTTTTGAGGCTGCAGTGGCACCTGGTAGCCCAGGGACCACATGACAGACCTGCTTTGCTCTCTTCTCTGTGACCTCTGGGAGAGGAGTTCACTCTCTCTGCTCCATTGAATCCCAGGGCTCTCTGCCCAGGCTCCCACAAGAATGCCAGGCTGTGCCAGGTGTGGGGGTTGTATTTACCAAGCAGACACCTCCATACCTGGATGGAAATACATGAAGAATCTTCTGGGTCACTTTGCACCCGTTAGGCAGAAAACATTTAGATGTGTTACTAATTCAAACTGAAATCTGATGAACGTAGATGGTGGTATGTGGGGGAAGAGAATTTTTCAATAAATCATCTAATTGGCTCAGGGTCTAAGAAAATGGGGTGGAAGAATCCAACCCAACTTTGTGACAAGGGAACAAATAGAGGAGATTAATGCCTCTCCCAATAAGCTTCAAAATCCCAATAAGCTTCAAAAGGCGGTCAAACAAACATTCTCGATTTTACAAGAAAGATGAGGTACGTAGCTTTCCAGCCCTTAAGAAAAATCACTGTTTCATTGTTTTCTGATTTCTTCTGAGTCCCTATTGTAGGTGGTTGGGAAAACAGGAAAACTAGCTACATTTGCAGAATCTTCTCTGGACCCATCTCAGGGTGTGCTGGGCCCCCCTAAGATTCCTCAGCTCCATCCCAAGGTTTATGCTGCTTATTCAGAGCTAAAGTAGCAGAGGATAGCACCAGAATCCAAATTCAACCTGTCATGCCTCATTTCAATTTTTTAAAAAACAACATAGAAACCACAATTCTGTCCTGCTGAGAAACTAAGGCATTATCTTCTGTCCTTAACAATTTGGCTTTTGATTTTCAAATTCTTGCTAGATTCCTGAGGAAATGGAGAAGGTAGGGCAAAGGAAGAGTGAATAAGGAGCCCCTCTTCATTCTCCCAGGCCAGCCCGGCTTCCTTACCAAGTCAGCAGGCCTCCACTGCCCTGAGCCCCACAAAGGCCAAAGGCGGCTCCGGGAGAGACTGGCCTTAGGTTTTTCCTAGGCTTCCCGCAGCATGAGCAAAACAGCCTGGCTCTTTGCAATGACAGGATAGTAATCTTTATTCCTGGCCTGACCCCGAGGTCCAGGGGTCCCAGCTGTGACCCGCGGGACACAGCATTTGGGGCTTGTTGGGGAAACAAAGAACACGACCAGAGCAGAATATGGGTCAGGATGGAGTTCACTGTAAAGGTCCCCTTGCCCTTCTGCAGCCAGGCGGTTCTGTGGGCCCACTCCATGGAGGCTGATTCCCAAAGCCGGCTCCTGCCTTCCTTTCCCCGCTAGGCCCCCGGCACCGTTAGCCTTACTCTGAGCCAGCCCAAACTCTAGGCTTTGCCACCCAGTGGGTGCTGGGGATTTCATGTGGAACTCTGGGGACAACAGGAGAAAAGGATCAACGGGAGCCACCCCCACACCCTCCACCTTTCTCACTTCAGTTGCACAAAAGGGCTGACTCTCCGTCTGTGGTGACCTGGTCCCTCTGAGTCTGAACCATCAGGAAGCTGGTGGCTGCGAGCTCCCTCTCCTTTGGGGCCAACTGTTTCCAGGGTCTTGAGCCCAACCTTGAGGCCAGGATCACCACAAGTGCAGGACAAAGAAGATGCAAACAGCACAGTATTACCATGGTAATGGCCTGAGACCGGCAGCCTCCTGAAGATGCCGGGAGGGTGGGTTTTCTTTTACTTTTTCTTTTCTTTCTTTTTTTCTTTTTCTTTTCTTTCTTTCCTTTTGCAAAAGGAGAATAGTTCCGCTTTCAATTTTACTACAACAATAGCACAGACTGGCTCCTTCAAGTATTTCAAAAAGCAGCCTGAGAAATCTCTAACCAGGCCGATTTATTGTTCCTCCCATCCCAGGGAACAAAAAGGCAGGAAGGGTATAAGGCCCCCAGTTGCTGGCTGTTCTTAGCATCCTAATCCTTGAGAACTGGTGAGGGGAATGGCCTGTGGAGCCGGTAAATCGAATTCTGGCCTCACCTTTTATTCCCTCCCTCTGCTCGTGCACACAGCAGCACTCCAGGTATTATAAAACCTCCTGGTTAGCAGGGCGGTAGGAATCTTAGACTTGCTAAGGGGATAAAAGGCACTGAGGGATCATTCGCGCATTCACTGACAGCCCCCTCCCCCGAAAAAGGGTAGCCTGTATGGACTGTTCCTTCCCACCACTCCAGGCTGCCTCCATTACGAATACTGAACGTCCAGCCCCAAGTGCCTTTTTTAGCAGGTACCACAGAGGCTGCCCTCACTCTTCCAGGCCTTCCCCCTCTCTGTCTCGATGCCTCTCAGACACGGATTGTATTGCCCCCCTCAAGCTCCCAGCATCAGGCACCAACCAACCTCCGTGGCAATTTGAGGCTATTATGTCAGAGCAACCCCTCACACCTTGGCCTTGGCCTTGGCTGCAGGTATCTCTCCAAGGTTACCACCCAGGAATCAGAAGTTTCTTTGCCTTAAATCTGGGGAATTATAGAGGGGCTTTTTTTTTTTTTTTTTTTTAGTTCAGTCACCTGGTAAGAGTGGGGAAAAAAAACTTTTATGTTCTGGTGTGTGGAGATCTCCAGCTACAACTCTACTGAGCTAAGTGATGATAAGTACACCATCTCCAAGGAGAATCAGATAAGCTGAAGGGTTAAGGCCTGTGGAGATCATGCAGGCCAATGACTACAAGCCAAGGAAGAAAAATAGTTTGCACTGCAACCTCCATACACAAACTCATTATACACATACACAAGTCACCCATGAAATATGTCATGAAACAATGTGATACGTGTGATATAATCTGAGAGTTTTCTATTCTCCTCTATTACATTTTTCAAAATTCTGGTTGTGACTCGTTAATTTCATTTCATGACCCACCAATGGGTTGCAACACAGTTTGCGAAGTGCCGGATCAAGGTCAACACTGTCATTTTTAAGTGGACAAAACTGGGGTGCTGGAGATTTTCTCCAGATTACACCAAAGCTGAAACAGAAATCGGCGGGGGGGGGGGGGGGTGTCTCTCCACTAAAGGACAGGTCTCCATAGTTTTCTCAAGACCAGAGCTCTTTCTTATTTTCCCAAAGCCTTGGGAGCACATAGCTATTGGGGAGGGAGTTCCCCAGAGATCTGTATTTAGTGGCTTTTCTGCTGCCTCAGAAAACCTGAGAGAGGGAGAGATAGCTGGGCAAGGGATGGAGATAAAGCTTTAAAAGCTACCAGGGGAGGCAATGAGGTCTCCCACACATTTTAATTTACTGGTTGAGGTCCCTGCAGCATCGGCCACGTCTCTGAACTTTTCTCTCTCTGGGACACACAGCTACGGGTCAGCCTCCTTTCTCCTTTGTTTTCCAACTTTTTCTAATAGTGTTTCTTTCCAGGTTTTTAACCTCTACTAATTCATCTTAGGCCTCTCCTTTCTCTAAACAACCTTCTATTTCCTGTCAAAATCGTGATCTTAGCAATGAGGGTCAGAGGCAACTCTGTGAATCTTGTTTTCGCAAATATTATCCTAAAAGTTATCCGAATTAGGTCAGGCTTAGAAATGCTGTTTACCAAAATGCCCGGAGATCAAGATATAGGTACCACATCAAGGCTCTGCATACAAGCCATCTGGGCAAAACTGCCTCTTTTCCTCCTGACATTGCCTTGTAATCTTCAATAGAATTTCTTAAAATCTTCATTTAAGTTTGCTATTTAGCTGATTTCTAATCTTTTAAGAAAGCCTCTGAAAATGAAGAGCCAAAAGCCACACTGTGTACTGGGTAAATAAGAGTTCAGCTTTCTGATTGCTTATGAGTTATACACCCTCAGAGAGTATGTAACAAAGGGGCCTGCTGTTTGCTTTGCTTAATCTGGTCTTAAAATCTCTGCTTCTTTGTCAGAAAACAATATTTGCAATTGTAAAAAAAATATTTACCAAGGAACTTGGATAGCAGAAGTCAAAGGCTAAGAGCCAAAGGTCAATAGTTCTTACCCCAAATTTCCCTGGACCTGAGTCCCTGCTGTGGAGCTCAGCTGTACCAAACAAACAAGCTGCTTTCCGGGTCCATTAAGAAGCGGACGTTTAAGAAGGGGAAGGAAAGGGGAGGCTGCAGCCGGCTCCTCAGTCCAAAAGCATGAACCCTCCAGCCTGCCCCACAAAATTCCTGCTAGATCATTGCATTGCCGTATGTCTCCGTGGGAATATTGGAAGGACTCGCCCTGCTTCATCAACCTGAGGAAAGTACCCCACTTACAAAATCCTAAAAGGGCAGATATTCCTCCCACAGACAGCAGTGACAGTATGTTCTACTGGGGGTTTGGCATAGATGTTCACCTATGCATCCTGGGGGAGGGTCACCCTGGGGCGGGGGGGCAGATGTATATCCTCACTCTTTGGTGGGGACCATTCTCAATCTACAAAGCAGCTTTGGACAACTGGCCCTGTGGGCTAAGTTCAACAGTGTTTGAATTTACCTCTCATGTTCATTATTTTCTGGAGAGCCCTGCAATCACCAGAAGACCCAGCATCTGGGAACCACCATTGTAGAGCAGTGAGTTCCAGCCTGTGGCCTTGGGCCGCGCTATTGGGAGCCAGAACTCAGCTCCTTCTAAGTCCCAGGCCCATGTCACATGGTACAGGTCAGCAAGGCCTGCTGGGACTTGAGTAATGGGAACAGAAATGGAGTAACCAGAAAGGGCCTGAGGAAGTAGTGGTCAGGGAGCCATGACGAAGTGTCCCCCAGGCTGCCAGACCAGATGGTGTTTCACTTTGCTAAGCAAGAGGGCTCTGGGGCGATGCTAGGCCTTCCACACTGGTGTCAGAGGCTTAGAGTCTGGTTCCTCACTCCACAGGGTCTGCAAAGAACACTGGTGCTTGGCAGTTCCTAGGCTAGTGCTTTAACTCTCATGCTTTGCCTCACTCTGTTAGGAGATTCTATTGTTTTCCCTCCGCTTCACCTTCGCCTTCTGTTACATTCTTGCCACAATTGCCAATCTCTTTTGATCTCATCAGGATAAATATCATTGGTGAATTCATCTTGGTCTTTGTTTCTGCCCTGAAGTAGCTTCTATCAGGAGCACGGCAGTAATTATCACCAGTGATGGGCAGCACTGTGCATAATCAGCTTAAAGAAATGGCTTAATCCAAGGGTCTTACCTTGAAGAACCAGGCCTTCCTTCTGGATGGTATAGGCAAATGAGGTGAAGGGAGCCAGAGGGGACTTGGCAATGAGAATCTGCACATAGAGCATATTTTCCCAGAGTTAGTCAAAGGGGACTTCATATCAGAGATAAACCTCTGTTCACTCCCCTTCCCACTTTGAGACAAAATGGTGACATGTGACTATAAGCCATAAAGTTTATTTTAAAAAAATTATTTTAGGACCAAATGAGTGTTACTCCTTCAACCAGCCAATTGCTTTGGAAGGCTGTACATTTATCCCACCTATTCTGCCACTGAATGCCATATTCTTGAACCAGTTATTTTAGAGATGTTTCCTTATTTTATGTCTCAGGCTTCAACAGCTACCTTTTTTGCCCAAAGATAAACCTAGACTAATTCTCTTATTCATAAATTTATTTATTCATAATTCATAATTATAAAAATTTATAATTTTTGAATTTTGAAAAAAATTCATAAATTTTTGCCCAAAGATAAACCTAGACTAATTCTCTTATTCATAAATTCACTTATTCATAAATGTAGCTATTTTGCTAAAAAGAAATTCAAAACTACCCTTAAAAGATAAATATTTACCATAATTATGAATATTCACAATCACTTGGTAAAAGCTAAGTCATGATAATTTGCTTTGTTGGCCCCAGCTCTTCACCAACTCTGTATTCATGGCATTTGCCCTGTGACTACATTTCCTCTTACTTAGGTATTTCCCTGGACTGTGGGTTTGCCCATATGACTTACTTGGGCTAACAGGTTCTTTGCCTAGGCTTCGAGAAGCCTCACATACCTCCCTTTGCTCTCTTATGCTTCTGCTGCTGCACGAGAAAAATACGTCCAAGCTAACCTGCTATCTCAGGAGGATGAGAGACACCTGGTGCAGTGCTGGCCAGCCACGCCCAGTCTACATAGCTGACCCCCAGGAGAACCACATACACATTAGTTAAGTGCTTATTACTCTATGCCTCTGAGATTTTGGTGGCGTTGTCATGAGGCATCATTGCAGCAAGAGTCGACTGATATACCAGCCAACACAAAATATAAAAAAAAATATATTTTGAGCAATGGCATTCTCCTAACAAAATACCTACTTTAAAAGTGATAGTTAAGGGGCGCCTGGGTGGCTTAGTCGGTTAGGCGTCCGACTTTCGCTTAGGTCATGATCTCGCGGTTCACGGGTTCGAGCCCCGTGTCGGGCTCTGTGCTGACTGCCAGCTCAGAGCCTGGAGCCTGTTTCAGTCTGTGACTCCCTCTCTCTCTGACCCTCCCCTGCTCACGCTGTCTCTCTCTCTCTCTCCTAGAAATAAATAAAACATTAAAAAAATAATAAATAGTTTAAAAAAAAATAAAAGTGATAGTAAAAAAAATAAAACAAAAAACCAGGGGATAGTCATGGGGTGCCTGGGTGGCTTGGTGAGTGAAGCGTCAGACTTTTGATTTCAGCTCAGGTCATGATCTCATCCTTTGTGGGATTGAGCTCTGTGTCAGGCTCTGTGCTGACATTGTAGAACCTGCTTGGGATTCTGTTTCCCTCTCTCTTGGCCCCCTCCCATGGTTGGACACAATCTCTCTCTCAAAATAAATAAATGAAGATTTAACAAATAATAAAAAAATAAAAGGGATAGTCATTTGGTCATTAAACCAGTATTATCATTAACACATATTATCATATTTCGTATGGTTCCACTGAACCTCTAAGGACTGGTGAGTTATTTTATTACGACATTTCTCTTGAAGAAAGATGAAGATCAGTTTCCTGCTTTACAAAATAACATCATCAAAGACAGTGACAGTGTGGCACAGAGCCACTTAGGTTAATCAGGGAAGCAAGAGAGAAGGAAGAAGTAATTTCAAATAACCAAAAGGCTTAAATGTAATATCTCAATTTATCTCAATTCAACATTTACTGATTGTCAACTCTGGTGGTATAACGTGGTGGAAAGCTTGCAGGTTGTAGTCATAGAGTCTGAATCTAGGTTCTTCCACTAATCAGCATCGTGCCTATTGTAAGACCTCCAATTTCCCCCTAATAGCCAACCCCCTTCTTCTTTTTAATTAATAACTCTCCAGGTTTTGACACTTCTCTGCAACTTTTGGAACTGGGGGTGGCCATATGACCAAGCTTTAACTAAGAGACTGTGAGTACAAGTGACAGGTAACACTTTCAATGTTTTGAAAACTAATGTTTTCATTAAATCGTTGTGTGCCTTCCACTTTCCCTTTCCCTGTCCCTAAGGGCAGGAACTGGCTTCAACTATATGGAGGTGGACATCCTGGGGGTTGATGAAGCAACTTGGGAGCAGAAAGCTGGGTGACCTCATAAAGCATAAGTGCTTCCCACCTGGGGTCACCTGTCCATCTCAGGACAGAGCCACTTGTCTGAACCACTGAATTTCAAATGTCTTTGTTGCCATGGTGTTTGTAGCCTGAATTCTAACCAATACCGTGGCTCTCCACAACCTCACCTTTTTGATTCTCAATTTCCTCACATGTAAAATGGGGATAATAACACCCACCTAAATGGGATTATTGTGAAGACTGACTGAAGTATATAAAATTCCTGTCACTGGGCCAAACTAAGAAAAACATTCCAACCAACTCATCCCATATGCTTCCCAACTACTCCTTAATTTTCACTCATCAAAAACCAAAATACTTTTACCAGAAGGATTCAACTCAAATTAAATCTCAATACTTTTCACTACTGTTTTACTACTGCTCTAAAGTTATCTATATAAATTTGCTCATCATTCTCAGACCGAATGAGTAGGGGGTATAGATGGGCATTAGCATCTTCATGTCAACACAGCTCACCTGAAAATTAGGTGGAGCCTTTCTGACAGAGATAGTTTAGGGATGGTTCAATGTGAAGTTTATGGATGCTCAATGGTAGGAGAATGCCATGACGGAAAAGAGGACAGTGCTTCTCAAGCTTCAATGTGAGTATGAGTCACCTATAGGTTTTGTTGATGTGCAATTTCTCATTCAGTAGATTTTGAGTACGGCCTGAGAATCTGCATTTCTAGCAAGCTCCTAGAAGATGCTGATGCTATGGTCCATAGACCACATTTTGAGCAGCTGGGTTTCAGGAAATTAGCCTGACTGAAGAATCTAAGATGAAGAAATAAGAGATGGGAGTCCTGGAGCCAATTAGAAAGATACTGTGATAATTCAGGGATGAGATGACAAGGCCCTCAACCACAGCTGTGTCAGAAAGAATAGGAAAAAAGGATATGGAGAAAAGAAATATAAATCCTTTAGATAAAAGAGCAATAGAAATAAATTAGACATATCCAAAACCTCAGATCTTTATTGTCCGCATAAAGTAATAAGACATAAAACCAAAAGGGTATAAATAAATAGTAATGAATAAAGTACATACTATATTTTTGAAAATCATATTACCATTTTTGCTTCACAGACTACAAAATCTGATACTCAGGAGAAAAATGATATGATATTCCAATGCAGCACAACAAACAGGATCTAAGCCTATGCCTCCAAGTCAGTGGTGCTACCTCTATAATCTGAATATTTCCACTCCCAGGGAGCACATGCCCACTGTGAATAAGCTAGGAGGCACTCAACTAGAGGGACCTCACAGCTGGAAAGACCTCCCTTCCAGGGAATCATGGAGTTTGGACAAGTCATTGATTAATGCACTGCCCTTTCTGAGCAGGGTTTAAAATGGGTTATCGAAAGGATGATTTGTATGCAGTTAGAAAGAGGAAGTGATCAATTGTGTCAGATGAATTGCTCTTCCTTTTTTTGGAAAGAACTTCCCTTCCCTGATAGATCAGAGGGCTACCACCAATATGAAATATGTGATTTTCAGCAAAAATGTAACGAATTCTCAATATCCTTCTGGATAGAGTAAAGACAAATTTAGCTGGATGCTAATACCACTAAGTGGATATTTAAGTGATAAAAAGATCAATAGAAACCTCTAGTAGAATGTACTGGATTCTAGTCTTGGTCCTGTCAATGTTTAGCATTCTTACTACCTGGACAAGGACACTGATGCACTTAACCACATCCATACAACAAATATAGGATCCACCATGGGACAGAACTGCCCCAAATTGCGACCCTAATGGAGCAATATTCTAAAGGAAGAAGAAGATAATAAGCAAAATGAATAAGTAAAATATATGGTATGTTAAATGATTATGCATGCTATGGAAGGGGGAAAAAAAGCAGAGAAAGGGTATAGGACGTGTATTGGATCAGAGGAGAGGGTCAATTTTAAATAGAGTACTAAGAGAAGACCTTACTAAAAAGGTGACATTTGGACTTGTGGATCATATAATTAAACCTACTGATGGGATGCTGAATATAGTAACAGAAGACAAAAAATTTAAAGAGTTGTTATATTGAATTAGACATTGTAATATCAAAACAAATCTCAATTTGGTTAGAAGGCTGGGACAAATCCTACAAATCTTTCAGAATGAAATTTTATTGAAATATATGTAATTTTATATGAAATATATGTCCTTGAAGACAGAGGACCAACTACTGGTTACAGAATGGGTTACAGAATAGCATTCAGAAAATGGATTAGGAGTGTTAGTTAACTATAATACAATACAAGTTGGTTGTGAGATGTGGTTCACAAAAATCTAGTGTGGTCTCAGGTTTTATTAGTGGAGACACAGTATCTGGAACAAGAGAAGTGATGGTTCTCTTCTTCTCATTCAGCAAATCATACTCGGTGCAATGTGTTTGGATTGGAGCCTAAATTCCAAAAGGGAAACTGACAAACGAGAACAACTGGAGGAGAACCATTAACTGGTTAAACACACAAAGCAACCCATGACCACAAAAACTTCAACACAAACATGATGTTAAGAGGCCTGGGGTGAAGGCACATATTGCTTTTAATTGTTTTCTTCCTCCCTTCCCTCTCTCTCCTCCCCTCCTCTCCTCTCCTTTCCTTTCCCTCTGTCTCTTCCTTCCTTCCTCCCTCCCTCTCTCCCTTCTTCCCTTCTTTTTTTTTTTTTCCCATTCTCCCTCCCTTTGGGGTGCTCTGTCTGACTTGTACTGTTTTCAAGTGTC